ATATATATATATCCTTTAAACCAGTATTTTGAGTTGAGCCAATTGCAACTGATTTTTACAGTTTGTTCTTATGATGTGCTGTAACACCACTGTTCTAGGTTAGGGGAGGATTGAGCGCTCAAAAACATGTGTAACCCAGCCACATTCTGTGCCTGTGCAAAGTATTGAGCCTGTAGTTCTGTGGCTGTTGTTGGTTCATTTCTGTCATATTTGTTTTTCGTTAATTGTTTTGTTATAAATTGAATTGTTTCACATTTTACATGTCTTGCCTTTTATAGCCAACTATACGGTATGGGTTTCTCTCTTTGTTGAAGGCCGTAGGGTTGCCTATAATTGCTTACATCCACTTCATTTGAACTTTGGTAGATAGTTTTCTCATTGTCAACACACCACATATCCTTATTTTTATATTAGTCTGAAAATGTATAATTAACAATTGTGTTAAAATTGAACAAAAAAAATTATTTTAAGTGATGTTCAATGCGGTATGGGTTTTGCTCTTAGTTGAAGGCCATAAAGTGACCTATAGTTGCTTACTTCTATGTCATTTGGTCTCTAATGGAGAGTTGTTTCATTGGCAATCATACCACATCTTCTTATTTTTATTTTGTAGCCAAATAAACAAATAAACTGCTGTCAATTCTGAGACCAGAATTAAATTCATAATAATTTTAAATAACCATGTACATGATGTACAATGTCTGACAATGTATGAATAAAATCAAGTAATCCAATTATGATCTCTAACTGTAGATTTGAGCTTTGTGAGTAGAATGCAACAAAGGGGAAAAGAAATGCAACAATGAATTGAAGATTTTTTTATGATGATAACTTTATACATTGGTTAAGATATAGCCATCTGAAGGCATGAGAATATTATCAATATTTTGTAACTTCGACCAATACAGTTATAAGCTTACCTGAGCAGAAGGCAATGGAGGGGAAGAAAATGTCAGGGATAATTTTGTAGCTTCATGAGCTATAGCTTTAAATACCAATCCTAGAAAAAATACAAGAGATAAATAAATAAATTTGTAATGCAGCAACCACATTTATATTTACATCCCACAAGCCAGTAAAAATAGTTAATTCATTCAAAGCATAAGAACATTTATGTCATGATTTTATAACACAACCTTTGTTTTATTCTCCTGGTTATTCAGAAATTTATTTAAAAAAAAAACAACTGAGGCTCCATCTCCAACAGGCAAAATTGACCGTAGGTAGATTGGGCTATTCTTTGTAGGTCCGATTGGTGATTTAGCTCCCTAATTATTCAGGTATTTACACATTCGCGGTATTCAAATGTTTGGGATTGATTGTAACTAAGGGAGGCCAATTAATAAAAGCCCTTCAGACCCACCAAATATATAAAGTGCTATTTTCAAATTCATTATCACTGCATTTCTATCATTGTTTATATGTTTTGGTTTTCAGGGTTTGTTTTCTTCCACCAAGTGATTCTTATTTGACAATATAAAGCGAAAAAAAACATATGAACAATCTGTGACAGTAATATAATTTTTAAGAAAGTTCCTGAAAAGCATCAGCCCGATTTATTTGACTGAAACTAAATTTTGAAATGTCTGACACAAGCATGACAAATGAGTGAATTTTTCAATAGAATTCATGGGATTAAAGGATTAGACTGGTGTATTTTGGACTATATCAATCCAAATGTCCAGACAGACAAAGGAGAAAGGGCAGGAAGGCTTTAATTTGGTCTTAAAAATTGAACTCTTTGTTATATCTAAACCTATATTTACCTTCTAAACTATACAGGTTTAGATGATAAAAAGATTTTTTCTGAATGTTAATGTTCTTGTCTTTTCTCCCCAATGAGCTTATAGAGTTAGCCATACCTTTCTTGAGAGTGAAGGGATTTTATAACAGTCATCTTATTACAAAAATAAGATGTGGTATGATTGCCAATGACACATCTATCAAACAAAGTCTAAATGACATGGATTAAAGCAACTAAAGGTCTCTGTACTATGAATATGGCCATCAACACTGCAAAACCCATACCCAATAGTGAGTTATCAAACTTACTTCATGTGTTTTGATTTTTCTCAGTGTTGATTATGGTCACTTCCAGGAAATTTAGTATATTTTTTGTGTTTCTCTTTTTAATATTAAGATTAAAATATGTAATGTTTACCAGTACATGTATTTTAACTGTGCATAATGCAATAATCAAACTCGCCTAATCTGTTCCAGTAATCATCTGCATGAAACTCAATACCATCTTTTTCTTTAGTTTCTCCGCCTGTAAAATATAATTTCATAAAAGATATGGAAATTAAAAGGAATTAAAAATAGTGTTTTACTTATCACTATGTAGTCTATTATCATGATTATGATTATTTACAGATATATCCCAAAACTTTTAATTCATTTATTGCATGTCCAGAAAGCCTTAACATGGAATTGGTGCAAGTCTAATTGAACAAACTTACACTAAACCATTACATTCTTTAAAAGCATTAAAACATGTTTTATTCTATTAAATCAGGACATTCTACATTCTAAAGGTGAATGATTATACTTCAAGGACAGCAGAGTGAAATCTATAAGAACTCAAAATTGTATATAAACAGAAGGATATAGTCTACAATGCTAACTCAGCTAAAGTATAAAAATAGACTTTGAGCTATTTAAAGGATTAACTGTTATATTTGGAAAAAAAAAACACCTGTGGTATCAGGTTGTTCTGGCCCCAAGTAGATTCAGCCCTAAGTCAGTCTGTCCAGAGTCAATTCGTCCCCAATTCATTCCAGCCCCAGGTTGATCTGGCCCCAAGTTGACCTGGCCCCATAGTTAAGTAATGAATAATCACTATAAAAATCGAGGTTTTTGTGACAAAAAGGATTCAAGGTACATTGTAAGTGTAATTTGCACAAGAATAATTTGTGTAAATTTGGCAGGTGAATATTTTTAGGAAACAGTATTGATGATTTAATGACAACAGGTATGTAAAGTTTGTCTATTATTGGTCAACATTCAGAGGATTTATTTTAATTTGATACAAAAAGGAGTAGGATTGGTTCTGTTTGTAAAGCAGCATCAGAATGTTGTTAAAGTTTTTTTCCTTGCTTATATAGTGTTTACTCAATTCTCACATTTACAGATTAGGAGTTTATTACAATCCAATGAAACATATATTATGTAATCATTGTTACGACTTTTCAATATTTCTCAATTTGAGCAGTTTTTGTAACTTTAAATATAAACAAAGGTTGTATACATCAGCTTAGGTATCAGCTTGTATAGTTGTATATGTAACAATTTGTTATTACACCAGTTGAAAGACCTGTTACAGATTAAAGTCATTTGAAATATTGCTGATTACTGTTGATTACTGTTGATGGTACTAACTTCTGTAATATATACACAATAGTCTTGATAACTTAAAATCAAAATCAACATAGATGTTTTATACTACATTATCAACCGTACTCATTTAACATGTTTAAGGGGATAAATTGTTTTGAATATAATGAAATCTTAATATAAATCATGATTGAAAAAAAATATTGAAATAAATGTCTCCTCTAAAGAAAAACATGTAAGTGTGGGTGTTGGACAGTAGGGGCATATGTTTGTTTTAAAATGCACGTAGACTATTAAAGGGCTATATATTTGACTTGTAGTCAAGTCCCTATGATAAATGCTCCAAAACAAGCCATTAATTTTTTCAATATTTCCATGTTTTTTAATGAATTACAAGAATATATTTTTTCTTTAATATTGATCATATAAATATCTGAATAAGTTTATTAAACCTTAATACCACTACAGTATTGATTTTTTTTTTAAAGTAGGACGAACGAACCCAGGGCAAACATGTAATCAGGGCAAAGGGGCACACTGGCACTTGTTTCTATCCATGGGAAGGCTGACTATCCATATATAATAGTCGACCTTCCCATGGATAGAAACAAGAGGGTCGTAATGGGGGTATCTTCATGACGAATAACGGTAAAAATTCTTGCCAAATGACGTTAAAACAAGGAATTATTTGAATCTGCAATAATTATGAATTCTGGAAAATTGATTAGAAATGTATGATGAAAACTAACCCAACTAAATAGGGTTAGCCATGTGCGCATGTCTAAGGTTAATTTTAATTTCACTATCATTTCAGTATGAACTAACTAACCCCCCTTAGCCATGCACGCATGGCTAACCCTATTTAGTTGGGTTAGTTTTCATCATAAATTAATCATCAATTTTCCAGAATTCAAAATTATTCCAGATCCAAATAATTCCTTGTTTTAACGGTATTTTTTGCTGTATGACGATAAAATGTACACTTTGTTTTAGACGTTAAAAAAATCGACAGATTTTGACGAATCACGTTAATTTTTTTCCAAAAATAACGGTAACAATAATTATTTGAGACCTCTGACGAATCACGACAAGGATATTTTGACGAATCACGGTAAAATTTTAACCAATATGACGCTAACGGTAGCCGAAAATGGCAGTTTGACGACTGACTGTAAAGGGCATTTCTACCCTCAAACAAGTGCCTGTGTGAACAGGCCTGATACCAAGTTGTCTTTATATGGGGTCAGGGTTGTCTTCGTGGGGTTGAGGGTAGACTCAGCGTTAAATTGTCAGAGGATACAAATATCAAATGCATCATAATATTAATACAAGTCTCTGTGTGTGTGTGTATGTGTGATTTCTAGTCCTACATTTTACCAGTCAAAAAAGACTGCTAAGCACTATAGTCTATATAGAGTATAGTATATTTCACAACCACAGCATGGTCACAATCAAAAACTGAAAAAAGTGTCAGGTGTGCTTGACAACTGTCCTTTAAACTTCTTCTCTTCTTATTACGTATATATATACTGGACATTTTACCTTTCACTTGATCTACTGCTATTGCTAAATTTGTTGTTAAATTGTGGAGTAATTCAATATAAGAGTTTTCTGCCATTTCCGTGTTTGGTTTTGGAAATTAGTTACACATTCTTTTCGGACTTTCGGGGTGAATCATTGTTTGTATGAACAATCTAGAGAAAAGAAATTCCGTTGCCAAATCTGAAATCAAACACATTCTCACCTTATAAATTAGTTTAAAGAATATTACGAGATGGCTGATGATGAATTGGACGCTATAAGGGCCAGAAGAATGGCAGAACTTCAAGCTGGGGTAATTTTGGACATAATGAATGAACAGATGAATTGATGATCACGACAAACATGTGTTTTGAAATTTGATCAAATATCAACATGTACCATAGTTTGTTTGATTTTCCATTGAAAAAGTGTGAGGGTATCTACACATACACCACAGTTCCATGTCAGCCCTCTGATTGGTTTAACAGATGCTTGAAAATGGTCCTGTGGTGTATGTTATATACCTCACACTTTTAGCCAGAAACTACAATGTCACACATTTTCTTTCCTGGAATATTTTTCAACCCTAAAAATTAAAGTGTTGGGTAGTTGTCTCATTGGTGAATACACCGTATCCTTTCTTTTTCATATAATAAGTATAACAATGAATTTTAATAACTGTAATAATGTCAGACTGTATTATTTTAAAAAAAATGAGAGACTGAACACCACATATATTAATCCTCTGATCCTACCAAAAAAGATGCACATAATTCCATATATAATGCAAACAAATTCACTTAAAAAAAAAAAGGTGCACATTATTCCATTATACAAACATTCCTTTGAATGAAAGACACCAAACCATTCAACATAATCCACAAATACTGAATTAATCACACATACACATTGTAATTAACCCTCTTGCTGCTGGAGGGACACATGTCCAAACCGGCTGTGCCGTAGGGACACATATGTCCATGTTTTAATTTATGCAAGCTTCTCATCATTGCTGTACCTCTTTCAAATAAAAGACAAAAGATTACACAGTGTAATATTTTTCTACAATGGCTCCCAAATGTAAGGGTCATTAGGGCATGACGTCATATATCGAATGGTGTCATTGTTGAGCATGGGACGTCACAAACGTCCAGCGGTCGTATTTTCTGGCACACGAAATGCAACCTTGAAAAACAACTGGCAGCAAGAGGGTTAACTTCCATTATTAGAATTGAACATGCATCCAGTCAACAAACTTTCCAAAGCCTCCTCCAGCACTATTTGATGGTTCACGATTTTCCGTTTCCATGATACTCTGTTAACGCCTACTGACTGTTCACCAAACTTTACATGTATACATCCCTAATCTAGAGGTCTCCTGTAAAAGGATGTCACATTCAGATCACGTACAATATTCAAATACTGTTCCGTGATAATTCTTGAAAAGTACAGGGTTTTGAAGGTAGTGTTTTAAGATTTTGGCACTTAAGTTCCACTGATTCGAGTCCACCTGAAAAAATGAAATATTGACATTCAGTGACATAAAAATCATACATTGAACAAAACTACTATTGAAATATAAAACCATTTTATTTGGCCTGGATTAGGTGAATTGTAATAAGCTAACAATTTTTAGGTCATTAGTAGATTGAATTTTTTGTTGTTTTTTTTAATTGATTTTTCTACTGAAATTGAGGACTTCGTCCCCATATAATTGATGATGACATTTACTAGATGGAAAAAACAAGCAACTAATTTGAAACTCTTTTTGAATTCTGACCTTTTTTCTGTGTCTGGAGGGATTTTTCTGATTTGGCCGTCCACTGAATGTTGCGGCCAAATCAGAAAATCACTCTGGACACAGAATTCCAAAATGAATTAAACTGGTTTGCAGATCAATGTATCAAAATTATACATTTGTTACCCTCAATCTTAATTATAAGGCTTTATGGCACCACTGTACAGAAATGTGAATCCCTCATTGATTAAGAAATAATTCATGGCAGTCTTAGATTTGTTTTCATTTAACCATTGGTTGGGCATTTATATTCAAATTATTTTGTCCTTTTTCTTTTCATTTTCATTCTATAGTGATTTAGTTTTGTACACATTATTGCAAAATGGAATTTTTTTCCACCTCTATATATTACATAGGGGCATAATCTATTTTCTAAAACTGTTTTGTTATATCTACCACTCTCAATAGCTAGTGTGCTGTTACTTATTCTTACATTGGCATATTTTTTTATCATCCTTTCTTCCATTATTGCTCCTTCAGAAGCATATTAGTCCCACATCTAGATCTCCTAGGTGTTAGATAATCTCAAAAGGTACAATGTACATCAAATCACAGAAATGGCCTGCAAAGTCATCAAAACCCAGAAAAGGCTTGCAATGGCCCTAAAAGCAGAGCTTTATTGTCAAAACAAGGTGTAATTGATAATAAAAACTATAATTTAGAATGATTTTGTTTCCTGTATGCAAGTTCCTTGTGTAACAAAATGTTGGGTGAGTATACATGCATTGTAAATGAGACGGAAAACAAAAAAGTGTTTTAAAAATAGAAAGTTCCGTTTATTATTCAGTTTAAAAAAAGTTGTATTGAATGGATAATTCCTTTGAGGTAATTTTACTTGTTTATGACTACAAAAAGTACAAATGTATAACATTTAACATTTTGTACATTTTGTAAGTTCCATTTTTAGGGAGGACAGAATCAGCCGAGTCCAGAGGAGCAAGCAGAAAGACAAAGACAGATGAGTGATATGAAAAACAGCATTCTAAGTCAAGTACTGGATCAGTCTGCTAGAGCTAGATGTAAACTTTTTAACATTATTTTAACTTACATGGTCCACTAAGGACCAGTGTGGTCATCACTTGTGAAACAGGGGCTGTTGTTGTCCCTTAACCTTAAAAAAAATCTTCTCCTCTAAAACTACTGCCAGTTAGAACAAAACTCATCCTAAGAGTACATTTATCTAGTTTAAAAGATTTGTCAGACGATCCAACCAACAAGCATGGCCACCTTTGCTAAAACTAGAACTAACTTGTAGGGGTAAAATCATCTTCGCTAGCCAAGGGTCATGATCTGACCCGCTCCTCTTCACCCTTGTAGTAGATATGTCTTAGATTGAACACAGCCTAATACCATGAATACTTATTGTGTAGTCTTTCAAGATTTGTTCAGATTAAAGTGATTGTTTCTGCTCAAAATATATTTATTAGTCATGTTAATTATTGCCATTAGCAGGTGACATTTTGCTGCATTGTCTCAATCTTGTTCAGGTGGAAACTTATTAATTAATTATTTAAGTATTTGACTATAAAAATAAGTAGATTGCCAATGATACAACTCTCCACCAGAGACTTAATGATGTAAAAGTTAACAACTATAGGTCACCATTAACTTTGTTTGGACATTTACAATTTATTTCTCTTTCGTTAAAACAGTGTCATGTATTGTCTAATTTTTCATTATGCTGTTTACTTGCAGTAAACACAATTTCTATAGCAAAACCTGAAAAAGCAAAGATGATAGAAGGCATGTTAATGCAGATGGCTCAAAGTGGACAGATACAAAATAAGGTATGTTCTAAAAAAAGGTATTGAAACAAACAAATGAATGCATACAATGTAAATGGAAAAGACTGTTACTGAAATATGTTCTCCTTAGAAATCAACTTTTATAGGATATATGACATTTGACATGCATCACTCCCAGCAAAAGGTTGATCTTTTTTGTTTAAAAACTATTTAAAAGGTTCATATATCAACTTTGTTGTTGTTTGATGTGAGAACTATACTGAAATACTCGACTTAGATCACAAATTTGAATAAGTTCATACCTTCTTGTAACTTCTACTGAAGTAAAGATCCTAGATGAACATGTTTTAACTACAACTACTGAACCTGCAACTGAACACCACAATGATCCCACTATGTATTGGCTTCCAAAATATTGGCTTCCAAAATTATGCAAGCAACTTTATAAATTTCTATATCTGCATACATATGTTTTACTACACATATTTCGGTTCTTCTGACTACAATTGTTAAGGAAGTTATCAAATGTTGTGACAAAGCTTATGTTAATGGTGGGATAAATATTTCTGGTATAAAACAAATCTTTTGTGAGGTCTTGGATAATCTACATTTTCATATGCTTATTTGAAGGTTAGATTGTCTCCCTTGACAGTTATGAATTCTGAACTGTATACAATATTACCAGATAATCATATCAAACAGAAATTTTCCTGATTACTAAAATCTGAGTTTAGTCGTTATTTGAGACCACAACCCTCCCACCTTACAATTCCTTTTTCATTAATAAAACTAACAAAAGATTTTTTTATTCTTATTTGACATGTAAAGAAAAGATTAAAGCCATTAGTTTTTTTGTTTGAAAATATTTATGTTGGCAATAAGCTATACCATCAAGTGTTTGGTATTTTTATGGGTACTGTCTGTGCCCTTCTTATTGCATATTTATTCCCTTACTAATCTGAATTACAATTTATGACTAAACTTCACAAAAAGCCAACAAAGCAGTGAAAGCACCACTCAATAGATATTTTTAACAATACCTTGTGATATTTTGACTATATACTCTTTGTAAACAATTCCTATTTTTCTTAATATACAATAGAAATTAAGCCACCTTAAATCATTCTAACCAAATGCAAAGTTAATAATGACAAATGTCCTTTAAATAAATGTAGCTCACCTGACCCAAACAAAAAATCTTCTCCTTTGAATGTACTGAGCTAATTGATACCAAACTTTACTTGAATGTTCCTAGGGAATCTAGTTTAAAACTGTGTGCAGGGTATTGATTCATAAAAACAGATGGCTGCTGTTGCTAAAAATAGAACTTAGGGATAACTGCTGTTTTTGACTAGCAAATCTGACATGGATAAAATAATCAGCAGGTCAAGGTTTATCTTAAAGGTCAAACTGCCAAAAGACAATGGAAATGTTTACAGAAATAACATATTATTTTTTGCCCCCGCGTAACCCGCTGCGGGGGACATTGAAATACCGTGTGTCCGTCCGTCCGGTCTTGTTAGCCCTCCCACAGGTACAATTCTTGCCAGATTTTTATAAAACTTATACTATAGGTTAATATAAGCAATATCTCAAACAAGTTCTATAATGGTGGCCGATCGACTTTTTTAAAAGAGTTATGCCCCTTGGAAATATTAAATTTATGCAACATGGCCTCGTTAGCGCTCTCATGGGTACAATTCTTGCCATATTTTTATAAAACTTATACTATAGGTTAATATCAGCAATATCTCGGACAGGTTCTATAATGGTGGATGATCAACTTTTTTTAAAAGAGTAATGCCCCTTGGAAATATTAAATTTGTGGAAAATGGCCTCGTTAGCGGTCTCACGGGTACAATTCTTACCAGATTTTTATAAAACTTTAAATATAGGCTACTATCAGCCATTTCTCGGACAAGTTCTATAGGGGACATTGGAACTCTGTGGACAAGTTTTTGAGGAAACACAATTTAAAGGGGCACTAGCAGCTGTCAAATTCATGTTCACCGATTTGACTCAAATTCTCATATTTGATTTATAACATACTAAAACGTATATATCCGAATTACAATAAGTCTGAAATAAAAAGTTAAGAAAGCATGTACTCAATAATATATATCAGAATTTCGTGTGTATTTTAGTCTAGACGCCATCTAATTAACTATCGAGATGACCTCCGAATACTGCCGATGATCACATAACCCGATGTAAACATAAACATAAATATAAATAGATTGCGACCGTGTGCACTTGGATTTTGATAGGTCTGTTTGATTTCATGTTATAGATTAAAAAAATAAGTTAATTAACGTTTTTACCTGTAGAAGAATGATTTGTGTGGATCGAATCAGTCAACGAAATGGTTCACATTTGTTTCACTTTCAATGTTGACATTCTTTTCCTTTTAATGGCTGAACATGACTTATGCATGCGTAACCAATCTCTAGCTGATGGGTTAAATTGAAGGTCACAAGAATACGGCTTTAATGGGGTCAAATTATTCACTTGCAAGTGAATAATTCATCAGCGATATTTCTTTGCTTATTTTGACAAAACTGTACCAAAATAGCTGCTAAAAACGAATTATTATTCCATTATTTCACTTTTATTAATGATTGAACCAAACTAAATCATATTCTAATTTTTTTCATATCTCGTAGCTAGTGCCCCTTTAAAGTGAAAAAATACAAATTTTTCGCTGGTTTTTTCATAGCGATTATTTACATTTATAGACTTTTTTCAAAAAAATTTAATAGGCTATCTTTTGAAGCATAAAGACTACATATTATTTTTTCTAGATTCAGATGTAGTTCTGTCATGGAATAGAAGTTCCTTCATCATATAAGTTCCAAGTGGAAGAAATATTCTGTAATACAGTATTTGTTCCTTACGGAATAAAGGGTATAGAATATTTGTTCCAACAGGAACAGATATTATGACATTGTTTATAATAAGTTTCCAGGGGAACTTCTGTTAGGCAGAATAAATATAAACGTTGACAGTTCAACAAGTTCTAAATGTATACAAAATTTCTCCCAATTACTTGTACTTTACCGTAAGAAAGAAAATAAGAATTTGCAACAGGTTTCATAAAAAAGTTTTAAAAAATGAAAAAGAAAGTGATTTAATAAAATTTTTAAAAAAATGCCATAGGAAACAAAAAAGACATATAACAATCTACTTTATAGTAAACAGTTTTTGTACTAACACATTGCACATTTTTATGCATCAAGAGCATATGAAAGATCAGTAATAATGTTTCTTAAATCTTTTAATATTTCAGCTTGGTGAAGATCAGTTAAAAGGATTGTTAGAAAAAGTTAGTGAGAGAACAAACAAAAAAACTACAGTAAAGGTATGTCAAATTAATTCTATTCTAAATAAAACCATAAGGAAATTAAGTGGATGTTCATGAGACACCAATCCTAGCATAGACTTGAAATAAGCATATGCTTGTCTCCAAGAATCAGCACTTTTATTATGCCCCGTCGTAGCAGAGGGGACATTAAGGTTTATTCCATACATACGTCCCGAAATTGGTTTCCATTCTCTAACTTAAGTTTGCCTCAACCAAATGTTATGAAACTTGTACACAATGCTTATTACCAAGGCTTCCAAAACGGTCATATATTCCAGACATTTGTATAATGTCCGGTAAAAGTCCGGCTGGGCAAAGCATGAAACGGTCATCTACTTTTTAGTTTTCATGGCTTTCTGAAGAGACAGTCATTTTAACATCATTCGCGATCTTTTTGACCCAACCTTTTGCCTTTAACAGCCACACATTTCTGGTCATAAAAGTGACATGATCATTAAGTACTATCAAAACAACCCCTACTTTAATACCTTCTCATTTTAATCAAGGCTAATTAGTTGTCGAACAGCTGAAATTTACCTATTCAGGTGACTGGTAATCTATTTTGAACCGGACATTGATCGGTCTATTCAAAGTTATTTTCTTACATTTCAGCGGTTTGCATCTAATTAATTTAGTCAAAAAGATTTAAATTATCAGAAATACGTTTACAAATATGATTTGATGAAAAAATTAAAAAGGTGAAAATGAAAAATCGTCATAACCACGTTGTTTGAACCAGAGACATGTCTCTGTTTGAACTAGTACACATGTGCGCGTGCGCAGGTGTAAAATTTAATTATGCATCCTAATTTCTTCAAAAGATGCTTAAATTGTCATTGATACCTTTATCTCACGTTTATTTCGAATATTTTCTTGAAGAAATAACGTAGAAAGAGCTACATACACTCATTTTGCAAACATACACGGAATTTACGTATCTGTCTCTGGTCCATGTTTTACCATTGTCAAGATAACATCCGGTATAAGATTTTAACGAATGTAAAGTTTTTGACGTTATTTTGCAGAAATAAAGAGTATAAGGCAGATATAATTACGCTGATGTTGCACACTTCGAATGATGCACTGCCAATTTAACAGTTTACGTCAGAACTTCGAATTTGAATCAAAGCAAGTTTAATATCGTTTTTTTTAATGTCAATCATTGGGATGGCCAACTCAGCAACTGAATACCATAATTGCCTTTTGTTTATTTAGTCTTAAGGGATTAAAATCGGGATAATATATAAAATGTCCGGCTGGCTTAAAATATTTTTGGAAGCCCTGCTTATTACCACAAAAAATCAGATCAAGTTCGATTTTGGGTGGTGTCACTTTTACTGTTCTGGAGTTCTGCCCCTTTATAACGTTATATACAAGTGGGGGCATCATCTGTGTCCCATGGACACATTCTCCATTTATTTTATATTGCATTCCCCTTGCCCATCCTTCTGTCAATCTCTTTGTCTGTTCCCCCAACAAATATATCATCCACACTTTTCTCATACTACTGAATAAAATGACTCCATATTTGTTTAGCATCTTAGTAGTGATGAGTTGTAACATGTGTATACTTTTCAGATAATTCAGAAACCTGCTTCCTGTTTTCAAATACTATATAGAATTTTCAATACTTTGATTGAACTTATATATTTTGTCACACATTTCTGCAGTACTATTGAACATTTCTGCAGTACTATTGAACAGAATCACTTCATATTTGGTCAGCAGCTTAGTAGTGATGAGTTTTAACCTGCGAGTGCTTTTCTGATCTTTTGGAAACCTCTTTCCTGTTTTTCCATACTTTGAAATACTGGTAGGGGTATGCTAATCATGGCAACATGTGCATTATTGTTGCATGCACCTTGTCCATCAGTTCATTCATTGATTATTTTTGTCACAGTTTTTTAAGATATCATTGAACAGAATAACTTCATTTTTAGTCAGCAGTTTGTCAGAAGCGAGTTGTAATGTGTCAGACACCAGGTTCCTGTATGCCGATACTTAATATGTTGAAAGAAATGAATATGTTCAGTTGCACACTTCTATAGTACTACTAAACAGAATGACTTTACATTTGGTCAGAAGCTTGACAGTGATGAGTTGTAAAGCCTGAGCACTTTTCAGATGAATCATATACTTTGAATTACGAGAACTTACAGCTTTTCAATCAAAACAAATCTATTTGCGGCATCTTACAACCAAATTAAGATGGTCTAAAGTAACAATTTATGCAAAAGATTTGATTTTGATTTTTGGCGTTTTAACGCCACTTTTAAGCACCGTTTTTGGGCTTTTCTTGGCTTTTCTTGGCGGCCAGTTTTTATTGGTGGAGGAAGCCGGAGTGCCTGGAGAAAACCACCGACCTTCAATAAAACTGACAATCCTAGTCTATTAAGATTGGAGTCGAGTGCACCCGCACGAGCAGGGTTCGAACTCACAACCTCAGTGTTGATGGCTAGTGATTTCAGTAGTAACTGCTTAGACCACTCGGCCACTGAGGCCCCTTAAGCATAAGAAATAAGGCTGTAGAATGAATTATTTGGGTCAAGATGTGCAATTTATTTCAGGCAGGCAATAATGGTAGCCTTTTTCTTAATTCCTCTGCCAGTATTGTAAACTTGGATATTTATGATGGCTCAATTTTCAGGGTACAAAGTGAGATTTGTTTTTCTGTAATTTAGCATACTGTGGATTCATTCATTTTCGTGAATACCAGTTTTTGTGGATTGATGAAAACTTGTATTTTTGTGGATGTTAGATTTTGTGGTTTTGGCAAAGTCCTCATACTAGCCTACAGGAAGTTTGTGCTTCGTTGAACTTTTAAATTCCTGGTTTATAATCAGGAAATTCATGAAAATTGGTATCCCACAAATATTAATGAATATATAGTATGATGAAAAGCCCTTTGTGATGAGGCTTCTTGAGCTAAAAAATACCTTTTTTCACACAATCAGTTCCATGAAAATTTAGTTCTTTGCATACATTTATATATAACTCCATAGTTTTTACACCTTTATTCTATGGTCCTCTGCTCTTCCAATCAGCACAAATGGTTAAGCTCAGTCACTTGTTAAAAATTGAAACATGTCCAATATCGCTATACAGAGATTTTTTGTTTACTATTTTTGAGTACACGGATATTGACCCATTTGTTACCTGACAAATAATATAAACAATAACAAACATTCATGTTGAGTATCAAGGTATTTTCAGGAAGATTTAACAATTGAAATTTTAGTTAAAAAGAGGCATAGTTAAAAACTGTTACTTTTATTACATGTAATGAAATGCTAAAAATACAAGTAAAATTTGAGCTTGAGTTACACATCCTATACCTAATCTTTCCTGTTCATAAAAAACCAGAACATTTTCATTTTTTTCCTGAAAAATAATGGTTATATATAGATTCTACCACTGCATCGAGTGTGATACGATATTTATCCACTCGAGACAGTTAAATTTTCAAATTTAAGATGCGAGGCTCGCCGAGCGTTTTAAATATTTAAAATTTAACTGTCGAGAGTGGATAAATATCGTATTACACGAGATTTGGTGGTGGAATCTGTTTCTCTAATGATTTTCAAACAATACGCAGGCAAATTTATTCCTTCTTTTCGAATGATCTGCAAAAAGATGTGTTCTTTCTATGTGACGTCATCAGGCATGGTCGCCTTTTTTCATGCCGTCACAATAGGAAATTCAGAGGAAAGCAAGAAAATTCGACGTCATAATCGGATTTTAACCAATGAAGAACTGAGATCAAACGAACCACACGTTGATTAAATTTTTTTCATACAATGGGTGCAGCAAGGGATAAATTGACGAAGAATTAGAGAAATATATATATATATTCCTTTCAACTCAGTAAATGTGAAATCTTCAAGAAATGAATTCATCTTGGATTTTTTATAGTCCATTACGTTTTGTTAGTTGGAGCTTTGTCATTTAACAACTACAAATCAGCATTTTTAAAAATGAAAATCATCCCTATGGCTCATACATTTATAAGTTAGACCCTTGGTTAAAGGGATCTTTAAGCAATTCAGTAATTTCTTTTATTGTATTTTTTTAGTTTAAAAGAAGGGGATTAGATGACTCAGATGATGAATTTTAGGAAGATTGTGTAATACCTGCTATAATGAATGTTTCTGGAGGAAGATGTTTGACATTCTGTGATGGTTTTAAGCCAGGGGATTACAAAAACTATGAACTGTGAATGGCTTACAAATGCCTTGTTAATATTTAATGAGAAGCATGTATTTATTGTCTTTCCAAAGCAAAATATAGAACTGAGAAATTTCATAGGTAAAAATTTTATAGGTAAAAGAATGGCTTTATTGATCTCATTGTATTTGGAAGGAAATGTTTCATTTAAAAGTACAAATTGTAATATGTATGACAAGATTTCTTCATTTTAGTATATCTCCATTTTAGAAGTATTTAGTGCACATTGTGAGGGTTGAAGTAAATATAAATTATTAACAAGAGCAAAGTAATGAAACATTTAAAGATATGAATTTTACTTCGACTTGTTTTGAAATACATTTGAAATTTTAAGTAAAAAGAAATCCAAGTGTTACCCAGCATATGAATTTAATGAATTCCTAAGGAAATACCAAAAGAGAAAAGAAATATTAGGAAGCAGAGGGAAATGTTAACAGATGTGGCATGATAACATCCCTTAAACTTTACCATTCTCATAGTTTTAATGCATTGAAATAAAAATGTTATGAAAAGAAGACATTAAGACATATTTACCATAATTTTAATGCATAATATCTCCCAAGTCTCTAGTATTTTATATGTATTCTGCTTCATACAAGTTCAAATTCTGCAAATAACAGTGGTGTGTAGTAAGTATTCCATTTTTGTCTTGCCTTGACGGAGTCAAAAAGCGAGACGTAGGTATGCTGTTTCCAGCGTTGGTGGCGGCAGCATTAACAATGTATTAGTTTGTGATTAGGTCTAGTTTATGGTGAACCACTTGTGGTAGGTCATTGATATTTGGTATGCAGTTGTATTAGTATTGGCACATCTCATTTCCATGGAGATTATTTGGCCCTGCCCCCTCAGTCATGGTCTATTGACTTTGAAACTTTTGCTTAGTTTATACATGCATTAGTTTGTGATAAGGTCAGTTTATGGGGAACCACTAGAGGAAGGTCAATGATATTTGGTATGCAGTTGTATAAGCATTGGCATATCTCATTTCCATGGAGATTATTTGGCTCCGCCCCCTCAGTCATGGTCTATTGACTTTAAATGTTTTGCTTAGTTAACATGTATTAGTTTGTGATTAGGTCAGTTCAAGGGGAACCATTAGTGGTAGGCCAATGTTAATTGGTATGCAGTTGTATAAGATAAGCACATCTCTGACATTTCCATGGAGAATATTTGGCCCAGCCGCCTCAGTCATGGTCTATTGACTTTGAAACTTTTGCTTAGTTTACATGTATTAGTTTGTGATTAGATCAGTTTAAGATGAACCGCTAATGTTAAGTCAATGATATATAGTATGCAAAGGAGTAGGTTCGATAACACCCTAAAACGGCCCCTATTTCTAGCTACAATTTCAAATTAGGATTTATTGACCAATATCACAATGAATCATAGCTAATACAATGACTAGATAGAAAATATGTCTTTTTGTTGTAAATTTACGTCTATTTATGATGTCACAAATAGCACTCATTTTTATTTTCAATGAAAATTCAATGAAAACGGGTAAATTTCCAATGATTTTTCGCACAGGAAACACAGAGCACATGCGTCTACAAAAAAGCTTTTTTAACAAAATGTTTGTTATCACATTTTACATATCTGACTTGAATATTTAGTTTATCGACGTCTGCGCTCTATGTTTCCTAGGCCTTAATTTGTTTGAAATCTGGACGATTTGGTCAAATTTCGCAAAAATCTCTATTTTTGACCTTTTTGGGATGTAAAATTCAACGCTTTAAAACTAAAACTTTGACAAAAAAAGTTCTACTTCAACTTTCTCACATGTCTTTTTATCACTTTAAAACATTTATTATCTTGAAACATTAAACTTAATAATCGGGGCCAAATATGACCCATACCGAACTTACTCCTTTATTGGCATTTGCAAGTCTCATTTCCATGGAGATTATATAGCCCTACCCCCTCATCATGGTTCATTGACTTTGAAACTTTTACATAGTTAACAAGTTAATGTTCGTGTTTAGGTTTGTTTAAAGGGAATACCTTATTACAAGTCAATGGTATTTGGTACGCAGTTGTATTAGCATTGGCACATCTCATTTCCATTAAGATTGTTTAGCCATGTACCTTCAGTCATGGTTCATTGACTTTGAATATTTGCATAACTAGCATGTTAAAGTATTGCTATTTTAATTTCAACATTTGCATTATCAAAATTACAAAAAGGCGAGACATATCTCTGTGTTAACAGTTTATCTATCTATAATTACTGACTACCTCATTGTTTTGATCAAGTCATCTAGTTTAGGAATACTATAAGACCTACAGTTATGTGCTATTGTTAGAAAGAGATGTTGTTTGCTTCCAGTTTTGCAATATTATATAATATATTTATTGCTTGCTCTTTGAAAAGTATTTGTATGATCTTTTTACCAAATAAAATTTGAACTAAATGACAAACATAGTAATTTTATTGTTTTTATTCCAGGGGCCTCAGTGGCTATTTGATCTAAGTAGTTGTTTTTGCCACAAATTTGTAGAAATCTAGTATATTTTAAAAAAAAACGTGAAATTACTGCAGAGTTTAAAGAGAAATTTTAATATTAGTGGTAACAATGGAGATTACAACTACAAAAGTTAAAATATCAAAAGTGTGAGATAAGTCAATTTCAAATTGGTCACAAGACAAGAATTGTTTATTGAAACTTAAAATCAGTCGTAAACGTTGTTTTTATGTGAGTAGATATATATATATATATGACTTAAGTTTTCACAATATGGCAACATTTTTTTGTTTTTTGGGTTAAAATATATATCATATAAAAATAAAATTGAGAATGGAAATGGGGAATGTGTCAAAGAGACAACAACCCGACCATAGAACAGACAACAGCAGAAGGTCACCAACAGGTCTTAAATGCAGCGAGAAATTCCCGCACCCGGAGGCGTCCTTCAGCTGGCCCCTAAACAAATATATATACTAGTTCAGTGATAATGAACGCCATACTAAACTCCAAATTGTACACAAGAAACTAAAATTAAAAATATATATCATATACATATTTATATATATTATATGTCAAAAATTAAAATTAAAAAAATTCTCATTTTCACAGAATTTTGTGTTTCTGACTTTGGAAATGTTGTGTGAAAATTTTGACTCATTTTAAGCACTTTTAAAAAAAGTAATATGCAATAGAAATTTTTAACTCCAAACAAACTATTGTAAGTGTTGTTTTCCTTTTGTTTTTGAGTTTACATAGACCACTCAGTCAACAAGGCCCCCTAATTTAAAGACTGAATTCTCCTCTGAACATGGTTTAAAATAAAAACTTTGGCAAATACTTGTTAATCTTAGTTCTATAATAATATCACATCTACAAACTTGATGGAGCCCCTTGTTGCTGGAGATCAAGGTTAAGATAGTTTGATGGGAATTAGATGTGATATCATTATAGAGCTTCAACACTGAAAACATAAAAAAGTGAAGTATTCAAAAGATGATGTGGCTGTTATGGTAAAGTGATGTTGTTAAGTTTTTAGCTCACCTGGACATATGCTTGTCTGTCAGTTGTTAACTTTTAAAAAAATCTCTGAAATTACCTGGCAAATGTAATCAAACTTTACCTGAATATTCCTTATGGATTATTTAGAAAAAATTATCTAGATATTTGATCCATCAACAAACATGGCCACTGTTGCTTAACATAGAACATATATGGGTGAAATGGCTTATAATGTATCTCAAAACTAAAGAAGTTAGGGCAACTTTGACATAGGGTAAAAATGATTAGCAGTACAAGGTGAAACTACTGAGCAATTTTCAGAAAAGAAAATTGACACATTTTTGGCGTATATCTAATAAAAACTAAAGCAAAGGGCAAAACTGTCAGAAGGTAAAATATAATCAGCAGGTTCAAAAAACCAACTTTTGCATTTTACAGAAATTATAATAGATAGGGTGAAATTGTAAACAGAAAATGTACAACTAAGGCAAATAGGCCAAAATTGTCAATTGGACATTTATAGGATTTGAATGCTCTTTGCATATTCTCTTCAAAACTATAATAGATAGATAGAAATTTTTGACAGCAAAAAAGTAATAAGCAGGAAAAGATCTACGAAATTTCAAAAACGTCACAAGGGTAACACTAAATCCACCCCCCCCCCCCTTTTGTGAACGGGGTAAGTGAAGGGAAAGATAACATTTTATCTTTTTGATAGAAAAAAATCTGCATGACATGCAATTATTTTAGGACAAATCTTTATATATATAAACTAGCACAACTACACTTTTTCAACAAAACACAGATCAAGTTTGAAATTGGGCCACTTTTACTTTTACTTGAGTAATGCCCCTTTATAAATGGAAAAATTGCTAAATCTGTCGTTTCAGTTCTCTAACTTTATTTTACCTCAACTAAATGTTATGAAACTTATACACAATGTTTATAATCACAAAACGGTCTTAACTACGTGAATCCTGCATCTGTATGTGGAAGTTGACTCATGCATATTTACAAGTGTTGGCATCTGTGGCTCATAGACACATTCTCCATTTATTTAAAACATAGTTTCCAACAAACTCTGGTAGATTAGATATTTGCTTCTTGTTAGGTCTATTTTGGTTGCCACTCCACATGTATTTTTATACTTCTTTGTCTTTAATAACTTTGTAGATGAAGTAATCAAGAAACAGCAGAAAATTCTGTGCATTTAATTTTGATCCTTGGGAGCAACATTTAACTCCAAGGAGGGGTAATGGTTTTTTGTCGGAGACAGAATTTTTTTTTCGCGCAAACATTTTTTTTTTATAGTTTTTTAATGCTATCAATCAAATTTTTTTTCTTCAAAATTTAACACTATAAGGTATAGGGAAGATCTGGATTCAGAATATTTTTTTTGTCATCTGCTTGACCACAATACTTTGTTTCCATCAAATTGGGGATCAGAATATTTTTTTAGGAAAATACCATAACACCCCCCTTTGAAGTTAAATGGTCGTTCCCGTAATATTTAATTATATCTAGAACTGAAACACGTATATAAGTGTAGTTGTACTAGTTTATATATTAGATTTGTCCTTAAATATTTGCATGTCATGCAGATTGTTTTCTATCAAAAAGATAAAATGTTATCTTTCCCTTGGCTTTAATACCCCGTTTTTACCCAAAGATAATAGGCCTGTCAATATGTATTCATGTACATAGATTCAATGCACGTTTGGTAATTTACCTTGCCTGCAGTTATCTATAATGTATATATTTGGTGTCAAAATGCATGTCAAATTATCTTTAACACAGTTTGTTTCATGTTAATGAGTCCTTGTAATTACACATTCCGTTTCCACAAGTAAAATGTCAATGTTCTTGCAATAGAATACACATAAAGGTCGCAATCAAACAATTGCAAGACACTATGTGTAATTAAATTACCCTCTGCCTTTGGGACAACTATATCAACCAGATATCCAAGGACGAGAATGTAAAAAATATAGGGCACTTTACGGACTGCAACAATGAGCAACACCCGTACCATACAGCAATAAACAGTCTTGGCATGACAACATGTGAAACAATTCAAATGAGAAAACCAACGGCCTGATTAATGTTAAAACAACAAACCAAAAACAAATATGGCAGACAGCAGCCGGAATCAACGACTGAATTACAAGATCCTGACTTAGGACAGGCAAATAAAGAATGTGTCATGGTGAAACATGTGTGTGAACGTTCAAAGCCCTTACTTAGGACAGTGGTGTAAAAGTTCAACATAAGATCAAACTATAAAAATCATTTAGAAAAGGCTTGACTTGTCAGATTCACACTAAGCACACAAAAAGTTCTAAAAAACAGACCAAAAAATAGTCTGTTGGTTAACCAGTATAACATTTAGTTAACCAAAATATCATTTAGTATGTTTTAGAATTAATACCGCTATAAACTTGAGTTCAGTATTCCACAGAAGTATTATCCAAGTTGTAAAATAAGGGTTATACTGGCGAGCAAAATGATAAATCCGCTTCACACAGAGCAATTGCAAAGTGCACGAATTTCTGGAATTGGGAACTCAAAGTTTAGTTTATTATATTGGTGTGTAATGACTTTATCCCTTTCTTTCGATGGGGTGGTCAAGTCCACGCCCGGCCGCCCCTCCCCTGATTCCTTCGCCTTTGGTTGTTTCTGTATTATTTCTCTTTTTATTGTTAATGATTGAATAAGTATTGTAGCGTCTAATTTCATCGTTCCAGAAACAGCAAAAGATGTATACCGAAAATAAATGTACAAGTAATGTATAATTGATAAAGACAATTATGTACACGTTCATATTCTACCAGATACAGGATGTATGCTATTATGTTCAGTATCGATAACATTATATTAGAATCAAAGAAGAAATATAGTAGTTGTTGTGCTTGGGCGAAATTCCTTTGAACTTTCTTGTAGATATAACCGCTTACGTAATTAGCTATACGTCAAGCTTTAATGTCACTGACAAATCGGTTATCGAATGGCCAATATAATACAAATAGGAAAATCAAGTTAACGTGCAACGCTTATAAATTTTTCAAATACTTTAGAATCTATTCAAATGTACAATGTGTTTTTCAAAAATAACAAATACAGATCATTCTTACATATATCATAAGGATTTTATTGAATCAGATGCGCTCGAGTGTTTGCGGACTGACCATTCTATCTAACGCCGAGATAGATCAGACAGGTGTTCAGAAGCTATATATACAACTAGGCCAAAAACATTTTTACGACAATAAATGTTAAGCGAATACCTAAGCAAAATTTACATTGAAATCAACACAGCATCGAAAGCAGTTCCAAGTGTATTAGTTGTATGACAATTTTGTACAAAGTATTGTAAGTAAAGCTATCTATTTGTTATTCGATTTTGCTTATATTCTCAAATGCAAAAAAGTAACAAATTCATTTTTAGCTCACAAGTGAGCTTTTCTCATCACTTGGCGTCCGTCGTCCGTCGTCGTCCGTCGTCGTCGTTAACTTTTTACATTTTGAACTTCTAGAGAACAAATGTCTGTCTTTGGAGAACTACTGAATGGAATGAAACAAACATGGCATGACTGTTCCTTATGAGGTGCTGACCAAGTGTTGTTACTTTGAAGCTGATCCATCATCCAAGATGGCCGCCAGCGGGGGACTTCGTTTAACATAGGACCCTATGTACAATACATACAAATGTCTTCTTTTAGAGAACCACTGATTGAAATGAAACCAAATATGGCATGAATGTTCCTTATGAGGTGCTGACCAAGTGTTGTTACTTTGAAGCCGATCCATCATCCAAGATGACCGCCAGCGGGGGACATAGTTTAACAATGGACCCTATGGGAAATACATACAAATGTCTGCTTTTAGAGAACCACTGAATGGAATGAAACCAAACTTGGCATGAATGTTCCTTATGAGGTGCTGACCAAGTGTTGTAACTTTGTAGGCGATCAATCATCAAATTTATATAGATTGAGATATACTGTTAACTGCAAAAATATCAAGAAAAGAAGATCTACACATAAGTCAACATGAGCAAAATTGTCAATTGACATCTTGTTGGAGTTATTGTCCTTATAAAGTTATTTTCTACAATTTCAGAGAATTTATTGGTAATTTCTGTAAACTTTGCAAAAGTCTGCTGCTTTTGATTAAATTACGGGGCCAATATTAAACCAAATTTGGCCTCAATCATTATTAGGGTATCTGTTATAATTTTAATCTATTTTTACATGATTTCAATACAGAAATAAAGGACCCCACCCATACCCTCTAATTTGACATTAACAAACTCATAAGTTCATTGTTTAAAACCCACATACTCTTTTTTTACATTGAGACATCAAAATGTTGCCACACTGTATTCGACTTCTTACAAACAAATGAATTATGTCCATTGGTTGAAATTCAACTTTTATTCGACTTTTTCCTCAATGGACATTCAGACTGTTTCCTTGTTGACAGTCAATTTCTTTTCTCAGTTAAAAAAAAACTCTTTGTCTGCAGGTACAGTTTCAGAAGCCTGAAGCCTTGAAGTATGAAGAAGTAATACTTTTTGACGTCGAATTGTGAATAAATAACATACTATATAACAAGCAACAAAGCTTTAAAGTAGCAAATTAATCGAAAAATGTTAACATTGTAACATCATTTGGTGCACACTGGAAAAGGGAAAAGGGAAATCAACTTTCAGAAAATTACGAAATCGTCAACTGCTAATGCAAAATTCGCCATGATGGCCATCATTTTCAAAATAAAAAATTATGAAGGTTTATACGGAAATTATATATACATATATAAATTCCACTGTAAATAGACACGACGTCGTGGTTTTTGTAGTTATAATTGATTTCTCAGACTGTCTTTGTAATAGGATGGGAAAAATAAATTGTATATTTTGACATCCCTATTAATTACCTTAGATTTATATTAAAATGTACTTAAATTACTCATCACAACCCATCCAAACATTTGTACATTTTATCAACAGAAATTTATTCCTTTTAACCAATAAAAACATAGTCAAAATGCAACACTTTATTTTACCTTTACACGAAAGATATAGACATACATTATAGGTGTTTTTGACCTGCGGTTAAAATCCTGACGTAATCTAAAAGATTATTTCATTAAAGATTATTTCATATATGTCAAATAGGTCACCAAAATCAATAGATATATCCATATCTATGTATAGTATAGGTAAGTTATAAGTTTTATAAATTTATGAACCGTATAAACAGCGAATATATGATTGCTATATGCTTTGAAGATTAAGTTCAAAGGTTGATCGCTTCTAACATACATAAGTTTTTATAACCAAAGGGAAGGTAGATGTATGTGTTAGTGGACTACACCATGATAAATACACGTTTATAACTTGAATGGTTTCCACAATTTTATGTTGGTGGTATGTATTTAAAGTTTATTTTAATACTTTCTCTATTTTTATTTCTAATATTTTAAATGACCTATTGATATGTTGTGTTTAATTTTAGTATTAATCTTTACAGAAAGATTTGATTTGTTAATCGTTCAATGTTTTGTTAAAATTTAAACCACCACACCTCTGTATGTAAAAATATTTTTATACACAATACATTTCCCATTTTCAATTTTAACTAATTAATAATGAATAAAATCTGAAAGCAATGTTTGAAACTTGTATTATTTTTCTTTTCAATTTGTAAGAAACGTTTATCAGTAATTTCTTATCAACAAACATTGTAAAAAGGCCCTGAAATATCTACGACTACAGTGACTGTAAAGGTGTACTTTTACCATTGGTAAAACATTTAATATTCGGACAAATTTGGATTTATAAATGATTTTCTGAACAGATCATTTAAAATTTCAAGCAAATGCAGGAATTAGCGATTACTGAAAGTCAGTGGCATATATTTCATACACACCCAGTACGACATGCAATAAGACAGATGAAAGAGTTGTTGGGGTATCTTTTTGTGGTCTTCAAATATATTATATACATCTGAAATAATATAATAACAATTACAGTTTGCCTATGCGGGCTAGTCTATCTGCTGACCTATGTCAATTCCGGAGACACTGCTATTTAGAATCTAAATGGATATATTAATTAAATGGCATCTTTCAAACAAAGACAATCAAAATATATTTAACTTTAATAAGCCTTTAAATATTGACGTTCGTGTATGTAAGGCTCGTCAATTTGCATTATCTGTTGTTTAAACAGGTTTTAGGCCAAAACAAAAGATAATTGTGTTTATTGCCTCCCTACCTACCATAAATTGCAATGCCCACCCTAACACACTTAAAGGATTTGGTTATGCGCTGTAAAAGTCCAGACATTTATGGTTAATCACCTTTAATAAAAGTCAACTCATACCTATATCGTTTATGAATATATCTAAAATATTTTTTTTGATCTACCTGCCTACCCAATTTTTTCTGCAAGGTGCGGACAGGAAACAAGTATATATGTCTTGGCCTTCCTAAATTCAATTGTTGGTCCTTATTTTGCTTTGTATAGAAAGCAGTAAGCTTTTGTTTCAAAAGCTAGTCTTTGTTCCGGACTATTTTCAGTCGATCAACTTTTTATCAAACTGCGGTGTCTATTTCACCCTTTATTTATTCTTTGTTTCATATTTCAGATCTGAATTCATAATTTCACTTTTAAAAACTATTACACGAGCAATCTAGTCACAAATGAATCATAATTTAATAGAAGGATTTTTTTCTTGTGGTTTCTTTTGTTGTTGGTTTTTCCTAATTTATATGTATACATTTATTATTTAACATGTTTAAAGTTTCGGTATGGTTTGTTTTGTTTCCTGCATGATTGTTTTGTTGTTTTACTTTTTGGGGGTGGAGGGGGTTGCTTGAACTTGTTATTTTTCTTGTGTTCGTCTTTCGGAGCCCTTTACAGCTTTTTTCAGGTTCCTACTTAGGATATTGTTTTAAATGTTTTATTTGACTATTTGAACTATTTACATCGTTATGATTATATTTGACCTGTATGTATAGACAGCATTTACTTACACAAAAAAACAAAACAAAAGTGAGTATGATGATGAACATAAACAAGTAATCATACATTTATACTAGGTCCTTTAAACCATGCATACAATGTGAAGTACAGATTATGGTCGATGACTTTTACATCAAAAACTCTGCACAATGAAAATATTAAAAAAAAAGAATTAATGTCCGTATGTATATTACAATATATATATATACAATCAATGGAAATATATTATATAATCTTGGCAAGGAATGTCTACCTATATTGAAACAATTAAAACATCATGGAAATAACGGTGAAAAAAACACTTTGAAAGAAACAATTCTCTTCGAAGTTAAATTATATTCCTTAAAAGTACATAATAAAGGATAACATTGTGTACATAAATAATTTCAACAAAGAGATCCCAATGCTATTTATCACAGTAGCACAAATGACCTATGTCAAATTTGTCATAAGTACAAATCGGTACCACACGGATGTCTATATAAAGTAATTTAGTAATAACTATGTAAAAATAGTGACATATTATGGTCAAAAACTACAAAAGTGGAATATTCCATTATTTTAGCCAGAAGCAGTTGTTGTATATTTTTACTGACACAGTTTAGGATCATCAATACTATACTATATACTATATACATGATATCAAAATGTACGAAAAAGCAAACGTCGTAGTACTATCTATGTCTGTAATGATTTAGACCTGTCATATATTACATTTATATATTGGTGTAACCAACAGTAAATATGTCAACAAGAACAAGTTAAGACTGACCCTATGTATCTACCTAGTAACAATGACCCGATGTATCTACCTAGTAAAAATGACCCGCTGTATCTACCTAGTATGCAGAAATCTTTCCAAACAAGGGAATACAAGTTTCTTCGTCATAAATTTACAACATATGGCCACCCTTAATTCCGACAGACACTATTTACAACATATGGCCACCCTTAATCCCGACAGACCCTATTTACAACAAGATAAGATAAGATAAGATAAGATATTTTATTTCCAATTATGGGCCCCAAAGGGCATAAACATTACAACATCAATAATTTTTTCATAATACAATACAAACAATGAGATAAAAAAAAAAAAAAGTTAAACGAGAACTATTTAAGTTCTTAAAGAATACGTAGATAAAGAATCTATAGTATGTTGTTTTTTTTAATACTAATGCATTTTATTGCAAGTGTGGTTGATATAGATAACAAACAAGCAGCCCAAAAAGAAAAAAAGAAAAATAGATATCCACATATGTATAGTACACAAAAAGTTGGATCAATTAAATATATAATAATTAGCCAAAAAGAAAGTAGAAATTAAACATGTCCATGACTCATCCTGTGTCAGCAGCAAATAGGAAAGCATTATGGTTTCCTAAAGGCAGCTGACACCAGGGGGCGATACCTTATGGGCCATAGGCATGTAAAATGTGTGTAAATGTCTCTTTCCTACCTGTATCAAAAGCAAACAAGGAAGCATCATAGGTAACTTGAATGCAGTTGATACCAGGGGACGATGCCTCAAGGATATAAGAGAACATTTGAATAAATAATATATCTTAACAATTATTTTTTTTTTTAATCGGCTAGTATGTTTGTGATATTCAGATGAATATAATTTTCTATGTCCAATCAAATGTATATACACACATAGATTTCCTTTAACTAATCTTCACTAAGGAAGATGTTTGTATATAAAATTACATATTATTTTAAGTAACTCAACATTTTCTACACTAAATAACCAGATAATTTTGCTTTGACTGTTCATATGATTAAAATAAGAATTATATTGTGCAATACTAGCTAACATACAATTTCTATCATCCTCAAATTTGTTACAATCAAATAGAAAATGAGCCTCATCTTCGACAGTATTGGAAGAACATTTATTACATATTCTGTTAATTCGGGGAATACCCTGATATCTACCTAATTCTATTTGTAATCTATGAGAAGATACACGTAATTTAGTAAAACTTCTTCTAAGTTCAAAATTCTTGATCAATGTTAGATATTTTTCAAAACCAAAATTTGTTTTATATAAAAGGTAGGTTTTCAGTTTACTGTCTGAAAATTTATCTATTTGTTTTTTCCAACAGCTAATAAACAATATTGATAGCTTGGTTTGTATATATTTCTTAAATTTGTATAAGGATTCACAAAATGGAGCATTTATGGCATTTGTATAGTCAATACCAAGTATTTTAAAAACAACATTTATTGAACCATACCATGATGTTATATTCATGTGATGTAGTGTCTTTGATTGTGTATATGCCTCTTTTAATAGAGGAAAATTATTACCTAAATTCTCTAATCTATACCAGTACAATAACATTCCTTTTATAATATTAAAATATATTGGAAATCTTCCAAGTTCAGATAACACGGCAGCATTTGTTGTTTTCTTGTGTACCCCAAGTATAAATTTACAAAATTTTATATGAAGTTTCTCACAGGGTAAACCTGAATATAATTTTTCAAAAGATATATCTTCCTTCTTACATTTAGAGGAAAGAGAATTAAACATCCCCCATATTTCGCTACCATATAATAAAATAGGTTTTACAGTGTGGTCAAAAACATGAATACTTGTTTTTACATCAGGATTAAGTGATAAAAGATCTTTCCTTAATTTGAAATGAGCTTTCAGGGATTTTTTGTATAGTTCATTTTGAGCATAACTGAATGAACCAGATGAGCTTAAATATAAACCTAGGTATTTGTATTTTGAAACACATTCCAGATTTATATTCTGAAATGTGAATATCTGTTTTACATGTCTGCCTGCCTTGTTGAAAATCAGCACCTTTGTCTTATTAGTATTCACATTGAGACACCAATCTTTGCAAAATTTATCAAGCATTCCCAGCTTTTCTCGTAGTCCTTCAGCTGATGTAGATAATAAAACAATATCATCAGCATACATTAAACAATGTAGATCTTTGTCATTGACATTAACTGGGTCTCTAGTATCTGACAAATATCTGGGCAAATCATTTATGAATATCTTGAATAAATTCGGACTGAGGTTGTCACCTTGTTTGACTCCAATATCTAATGGGAAAAAATCACTTACTTGATTTTGAATTTTGACACATGATTTGCTAATTTCATACATACTTTTAATAATGTTATAAAAATAAGACCCAGCCCCAATATCTAGTAGTTTAATCTTGATCCCTGTATGTATAACAGTATCAAAAGCCTTCTGAAAATCAACAAAACAGGCAAACAGTCTACCTTCTTTTGAATTACAGTATTTGTTAATAAGACAGTTTAAAATAAACATATGATCTGCAGTTCTGGCTTTCCTTGTGAATCCAATTTGACTATCATGTATAATATTATGTTCCTGAAGAAATTTGAACATATGGCCACCCTTAATCCCG